GGCTACTCTCCTGCAGCCTCAATGTCCTCCCTGTAAAGTGGGCACAGGAAGGCCAGCCTCACAGAGCAGTTGAAGGGAGCCATGACTAACACTTTGGAGGGTGTTGGTGGAGTCTGGATTTCTGGGTGAATCATTGCTACAGTGAGGACGGTTCTCAGACAGTGGTCAGCGAGTGTCTGTGGCTCCCAGGGCACCGAGGGAGGAGCAGATGGCCGGAGCACAGGAGGGAGGGCCTCATGTTCACTGTCCCACTCACTCACCAAATACTCGTCGAGAGCTACTGAGGCACTGCTGGGCGCAAACCAGAGTGGACTCTGCCTTCTGGGAGTCCAGGCAGCACGGGCCTTCAGCAGTGGTCCAAAGGAAAGCCAGCGTGCCACGAGGCTGCTTGATGGACCAGAGGCCAGAGGAGGGCTCCTTGAGCAGGTGACTCAGCTGAGATGAGAGTGATCAGTGGATCAGAGAAGGAGATTAGCATCTGCACCAGACGGAAGGGTCGGGCCAGAAAAGGCACCCGGCCAGAGGACACGAGGGCCTCCAAGGAGCCGAGAGGTGGCATTTAAGGAGGATACTGATTTCCCCTCTGATGGACTGGGGAGGTCCACGGTGCCCGATCCTGCACCCCTGTTGTGGCAGAAGCCTGTGGGCTCATAGAGTGCCCATGTGACCAGCCCCCGAGTCAGAGGGGAAAGAAGCAGAAACTTTGCTGAGCCCGGCTGTGCGTGCTGAGCTCCGCAGGCCTTGCCTCCCACATCCATGCGTGCTCGATGGACGGGTGTCATTCTTCCTTTTCTCAACAAATGAGGAAACTGAGGCCGAGTAGCCAAGTGGCCTGGTGGGGGTCAGACGGCTGAGAAGAGCCAGGACTCGGCCTTTTCTTCCCTCCCCCGGCCTACGTCATGGGTGGCAGATGAGGTCACGTGCACTGTGAGTCTCATCCTGCCTGAGCTCCTCAGTGATGTAGAGTCCAGGCACATGGGAGGCCGGGAGGGACTCGTGGTCAGAGCTGCTCTGACGCCTCTGGTTCCCTGCGCCTCGCCCCACCACACTCTGTGTCCGTGCCCTGAAAGGTGGGAGCTCCTCACTTCTCCCCTCCTCTCTTCAGGGAGTTCCAAGGAGAGGACAGGTAGGGCTTTCTGTGGGGAAACTGAGGCACAGAGAAGCTCTTCGAGCTGGGAAGAGCTGAGACTGTCCACTTCCTTGTTGGCTTCTTGGAAGGTAGTTGGGAGCATGCGTGTGTGTGTGTGTGTGTGTGTGTGTGTGTGTTCCTTCCGAGAATCATTAAAATGTGTCTTTCATTTTAAGATCACTTAAAATTTTATCCTAAAGAGCATTTTGGAATCTGGGGCTGTTGAAGGGAAGAGGTGAGCTCGAGGTGAACAGGGCTGGCAGGCAGCAGGCAGCCTTGGAGCAGACCACCCCGGCCAGCACCTATAAATACAGACCCACTCTGGACCTCAAAGGCATCCCCCAGAGAGCACAGCTGAGCAGCCCTGCCCACCTGAATAGGCAAAGGGTCAGTCTGCATGAGGAGCAAACAGGAAAGGAAAACTAAACAGACCCTCCCTTGGGGAACCACTGACAGCAGGTTTCAGGGGGTGGCGTCCACCAGGCGGGCAGCCTCCAGACTGTGGTCTGCCCCCAGATGGGTCAGAGTTTTGAATCAGGCAAAGTCGTCATGAAATGTGCAGGAGTCCAGTCAGGGCCTCCCCAGGCAGAGGCAGCCCAGCCGGACCCGAGGAGGAAGCAGGGYGTGTGCCTGCCGGGTCCCACCCAGCCCCGCTGTGGAGGGGAGGCCTCCTCTGGGAACTCCTGCTGCCTCAGCTGCTGCACAGCGTGACGCCTCCCCCACTGCCACCCCCGAAGTCACTGCTGAATCAACACAGCCAYGAGGGCTTACTCATCATGTGGGCTACGAGCAGTCTGTTTGCACAGAATCAGTGTCTGTGGGCTTTGGTGAGTGAAAACATTTGAGGCTGGAGGAAAAGGGTGGGGTGCTATCATTTGGAAGAGACAGCTGGAGCAGGACAGTGGGAGAGACGGCTCAGATGTGAGAGGTAAAGAGATAGAAGTGTCCAGGTCAGAAGCTCCCAGAAATATCTGCATTTAGCAAAGTGTCTTCATCACTATTATCACCATCACCACCATCATCATCATCACCATCACCATCATCACCATCACCATCACCACCATCACCATCACCATCACCCCTGACATTGCTATCATCATCACCATCACCATCACCATCACCATCACCACCATCACCATCACCATCACCATCACAACTGACATTGCTATCATCATCACCTTCACCATCACCACGATCACCATCATCGCCATCACCACCTTTGCCACCATCACCAACACTACTGACATTGCTATCATTACCATTACCATCTTTATCATCACCACCATCACCATTACCATCATAACATCACTGTTATCATCATCACAATCACCATCACCACCACCACCACTACCATTACTATCAC